TCCGGCCAACCACGTACCCCTTGAGTCCTTCAAAGCTGCCCTTCAAGAACTCGGAACCATCGTGCGATAGCCCCACGGTGGGCGCCAACTGTCGTGGAAATATCACGTCAGATGTCCTAGCGGAAGGACTTAGTCGTGGAGCCATCGCAACGACATTAGCCTGAAGGGGTTAAACCGGACAAGGGACACGAGAGTTTATACTAGTTCGGCCCCTTCGATGAAGGTAAAAGCCTACGTCTAGTTGTGATGGGATTATTGGGGTTTCAATGACCAGGGAGCAAATACGCTTTGCCTGGATCTCGAGTTGTTGTCTGTTCTTCCTGAACCGTCGTCGGGTCATCCCTTTATATACACAGGTTGACGCCCGACCGGTTTATAGAGTCCCGAGGCCGACTCATACAAGTGTTTGGCTCGGTTTCTCCCTTTCCCTAACTTACAATACAAGTTATACAATTATGGCGGTTTACCACTATGGACCCTAATCCGCCTCTGGGCTCTGGGCCTCTAGGTTTTATCAGTAAAGCGCCATCTTCTTGTCTTCATGGGCTTTAACATAGTTGAGCGTGAACCGGCCCCTCCTGGGCGGTTTACACTCAGTAGTTATATCCTCAACACAAATGGATCGCGGCGAGAAGGCCACGACCAACCATTGGGCGACCATCCAGCAGGCCTGCAACAAGTGGCATGGGATTCAAGAGAAGGGTATGGCTCGGCCGGAGAGCGGCGCCAACGTCGAGCGTCAGGTATGCCCATTGCTCGTTGACCCTGCTCTTCGTCGTGTACTTCGCTGACACTTCTTCTTTGACTGTGTAGATGGTTCGAATGTTCGACATGTTTCGCCAGGACAATAGCGACCAGGAGTTCAAGTTCCTTCATGTGTTCACCAGGATCGAGTCTTGCGAGAAATGGACAGAGTGTCGGCTCGCTCTCGCCAAGACCAAGGACAGTGTCTACAACCCAGACTCGGCAGAAGGGCGTCCTGATGGCAACAAAAGAGCCAATGCAGCGAGGGACGCGACACCCTCTGCCGAACGGCTGCAATCGTCGATAGAACAGTGCATCGCCAACGCCAAGAGCAACGCCACCAAGAGGGAGGAGAAATCCGAGGTGAGGTGGTCGGCGTTGATGACGAAGCAGGACATCAAGTCAACCTTCTCAGGACCAACGTCGCCACGAAGAAGAGGAACACTGACCTAGCATTCCGGATGGGAGCGGACATGACGACGATGGATGAGCAGGTGAAGGTGTGGTATCTAGCAGAGCGCGGCCTCATCTTGAACTAGATGCCGGGACCGGCGGCGACCACTGCCCCTGCGGCCATGCCCACGCCTACGCCAACGTCGAGCACTGCCATTGTGCCCACAACACCGAGGCCGACCTCTCCCAGCCCTACGGTAGAGTAGCCTACCGTTTGAGTTCCATGTCTATGGTTCCTACCCTTTTGATCGACGGACTTTGGCTATGTTCGATCGCCGACCTGTGACATGATGACCGCCGTGGTAGCGAGAAAGAGAGCTTTGATTTTGCATGCGTTTGGGGGACGAAACCTGGGGGCGGCTGAAAACTTGATTCACCCCA